AAAAATAGAAAACTTGATTTGAAAAAGAAATGACCTTCACGATGCAAAAGAAAAGTCAATGAGAAGTTCAAAACAATTGAAACATCATTTGTTTTTTACTCTAAACTTGTCCTTTTCAATTATAACTAAAAATAAATAAATATTAAATGAAATATATTTAATAAAAATTACTAATAAGATGGTATAATACAATTTTTCCATTCTTTTATTAATTGGAGAATACGAAAAAAAATTCTCTAAGAGGTGTTACCATAAAAGATGAGCAAGTGGATGAACCAACAAAGGTGAAGGGGAAAATGGTGGATTTTTTTTTTCCAAAAAGCTTTAGTGAAAAGATGTAGGATAAACCAAAAAGTTGGATGGGATCATTTTTAAAGAAATTTCTTAAGAATATGTTGATTTCCAAGTTTGAGGAGATGGAAGTAAAATAGGTGGTGTGGGATTATAGAAGTTTAAAGAGTCTTAGGCTTGATGGTTTTAATTTCAAATTTATCAAGTCTTGTTGGGATAGTTTGAAGAAGAAAAAAAAGATATCGTGATCTTTTAGGAGAATTTCATGAAAGATGAGTGTTCCTAAAGGTAATAATGTGTCTTTCATATATCCTCATTCCTATGGTGGATAATCCTACGCACTTGGGTGAACATAAACCGATTTCTCTAGTGGTTGTATGTACAAAATTGTGGCAATGGTTCTAGCTAAAAGAATTGAGCAAGTGTTGTCAAATGTGATTGATAGTAGACAAAGTGCTTTTTTTACAAGAAAAAACCTTCTTCATGGTGTTCTTGTTGCAAATGAAGTAGTAGATGAAGCAAGAAAAAAGGGGGAGGGGGGGGAAGGTGTTTGATCTTGAAGGTAGATTAGGAAGAAGAAAAAAGTTGATTCCATGAATGGAATTTTCTTTGGTACATGTTTCATAGGCTTGGGTTTGATTCAAAATATGGGGTGGATGAAAGCTTGTTTATTCTCTAGCTTCATGTCGGTTTTAGTTAATGAAAGTCCCACTAATAAATTTTTAATTAACAAAAACCTTTGTCAAAAAAGAACTTTTGAAACCCTTTCATTTACTATTGTGGTGAAAGGTCTTAACGAGTTGATGTGACAAGTCAAAACTCTGAATTTGTTTAAGATTTGGAAGTTAAAAGTAATAAGGTGGTGGTGAATTTGCTCCAATATGTCAATGCTACAATCTTCATTGGAGAAACATCCTTGAGCAATGTCTATGTCATCAACAACATTCTTCACTTCTTTGTGTTGGTTGCTAGTTTGAAAGTGAATTTCTTCAAAAGTAAGTTAGGGCAGTTGGGTGGATACGAGTTTAAGGGAGGGAAAGAAATTCATGTGTAAGTTGAAAGAAGTTGTGTTCTTAAAAGAAATTGGGAAGGATGAGTATTAAAAATGTTGGACTTTTTAATGAAGTGGAGGTGAAATCGTTTTCACCATGAAGGGAAAACTTTTAGACATTAAGTATGATGGATGGAGGGGTTAATGAAAGAGGGAGGAAATAGGTCCACATATATTTGGTGGAGGGATCTCAAAATATTTTGTGGTAAAAGTAGCAATATTAAGTGATTTGAGACAGCAATAAAGTGGGGGAAAAAATTAGGGGTGTGCAAAAAAAACTAAACCAAACCAAATCATTCAAAATTGAACCAAACTGATCTACAAAATAACTGATCCAAATTAAAAATATCCGAACCAAACCGGTTTTTAAAAAATCATTTAATCGAACCGGTTTATTTAAAATAGATCGGATAAAACCCCTTAAAAAAATCTGTTTTAACTTTTTCTCGAGTCCTAACTGCTCTCTTGTGCGCAACACACTACACACAGTACGCGTGCCTCTCCTGTGCTCTCCTGTTTACGCGATGAATTGCAAAATGTAAAATGAAGTCGCGTTGGAGTCTCGGCATTTTGTAAGTTGCGATTCTCACGAATAAAATCACTATCGCAATCTCTGCCTTTATGGTTGCAGGTGCTGGACTACTGGTGGTGGCTAGTGCATTTTCTTCTTTGCATAAACCCTATTTCCTAAATTTGTAAATACCTTCCCTTTTGCTTTCTTTTTAATTTAATTCTTAGAATTTTAAATAATTAATTTTTGGTGAGCTTTCAATTTCAGGTATTGTTCTAGAAAAATCCATGGGTGCCAAGAGATAGTAGGAATCCTAAAATATATTTTGAAATTTGGATCAAAATCGGTTCGAAACCGATTTATTAATTAGGTCCAGTTCAAAATTAGATCAATAAACTGGATTGGATCAGAATCTACTAAATTAATTCATTTAAAAACTGATTGGTTCGGTTTGCATTGATTTTTAAAAAAAAAACAATCTATACCCACCCCAAAAAAATGAGGGATGGTAAACCTGTAAAGTTTTATGAAGATAATTACGTTGGTGAGGAACCGTTTGTAAAAACTCATTTTAGGTCTTTTTATTGTTTCAACAACAAGAAATGTTTGTTGGTGACATGGACAAGTGGCATAATGATGAATCTTGGAGGTGTAACAAGAGAGATTGTAGGGAATAGTAGAAGACGATTTTGGTGTTTACACAATAAGCTCTGGATAACGTGCTACATTTTAAGGGGTTAATGATAAGTCATTTGAGAAAGTGTTTCTTTCTTTGTGGAAGATGAAAACTCCTCCCAGGGTTGCATTCTTTAATTGCCTCTAACAAATAAGGATAGTTGGCACACATTTTACAATTCATGTGTTGAATCATTTTTCCATATTCTATTTTCATGCCCTTTGTTTGATAGTATTTGGAAGTTATGTTATGGGTGGACATCCATTATGATCATCCACAAATAAAATTCGTTACGAGTAAAAAATGGGTCTTATAAATGTACACCTGCAGATAATGAGTAAGGATAGTTTTTATACCCATGTGTTAATAGGACAACTACAAATAGTTCTTGTGGGATTCACTAATATACAATTATGATATTACATATTAAATTTTTTAAAATTTATGGGGAATGAAATACTTCAATAATTAAATTTAGTTTCTAAATTGAAGAATCTTAATTAATAAAATTGTATATAATATTTGAATGATTTAAGTTTTAACTTTCAAACTGTTATTTTAAAGAAATTATTAAAATAAACATAAATTATTAATAATTTTTTAAAATTTTTTAATAAATATCCAAATACATCTGTAAATACACGCCAATATTGAAAAAATATGTAGATTTCCCTTAATAGATATAAGACAAGTATAGAACCAATATTTATCCAACTAGATAAGTAGCAAGAGGCTACTACCATATTCTCTCCCCTCTCCGCTCCGGTAACATGGCTAATTACAGTCCTACCAAATGATGGAAACAACATTTTTTTACAACATGAGGATACAAGGTTGAATAGAGACCATGCACAGATTTGGAAGAGAATATGTGAGGTGGTAGTTTGGTGCATTTGGAAGCATTGCAATCATTATGTGTTTGATGGAGGTATGTTTAATTTTAAGTTGGAGGTGCATTTACTCACATTGCTTGGACGTGGCTAAAATTCCAGGTATCATCTTTTGAATATGGTTACATACAATGGGTTTTTAATCTTGTTGCGTGTTCAATTGGTGATTGAATCTTTCTTTTTGGTGGTATGAAACTCGATGAATACCAAGAGCATTTTCATGTTGTTACCCTGGAGAAGGCGAAAACTTGTTGATTGGAATTTAATGGGATCAAAGATTATGAAGTGGAGGGATAATAGAAAAAATGGCTTGAATATGTTTTTAGTTGTTTAAATTTAGAATAAGTTTTTTTTTTATCTTTTAATTTTAAAATTGTTGTTTTAGTTCTCATAATTTTTTAAAATTTTGTTTTAATCTTTCAAGACACTAATAACATATTTGAAAATGAAAATTTGAAATAATTATGCAATATTAGTTAGTTTAATGTGATGTTTTCACTAATAAGGATAATAATAAGTAGATTTTATGCGATAATATTTTACAAATTCCCTAATAAAATTTGATAAGGACTAAAACAAGATTTTTTAAAACTACAAAAACTAAAATCAAAGTTACCTTAAATTTAAGAGATTCAAAATATATTTAAATTTAAAAATTAATTTTTTTAATATACCACAATAGTTCAGATGTTAATTTTTTTAATAAATTATTTGTTTAAGTCTCTAATGTTATTTAATTGGTTCAATTTGTATATGTGACAATACTTTTTTTTTACATGTCACGTATACAAAAATTTGACTACATTAATCTCAATTAGACCAAAAAAAAACACAATACATCATTTCTTTTAAAATAATCGATCAAACTAAACATTTTAATAATAAAGACCAAATTAAACCTATTAAATAAATTAAGAGGTTAAAAAAGTCATTTAACCTCTTTATATAGACCATAGATATACTCGACTAAAGGTGATTCTATTCAAGTCAAATATGATAGAAAAATACTCTTCCTCCAAAAAATTTAACTCGCTTTGCCCATAAAACCAGCCTCTATCAACTCAAGTAATATTTTCCAAGCTTCTCAATTTCAAGTTCGGTCTAGGTTTCATTGTGAAGCCTAATTTTACTTTCTATGATTTGTTTTATCTATAGTTTGTAGGGAAACTTCAGATCAA